TTTTTTTTTTTTTTTTTTTTTTTTTTTTTTTTTTTTTTTTTTTTTTTTTTTTTGTCTTATACCCACGCGTACTTTCCCGTACGTAACACCCGGCAGTTTAACTGTGCGTGTGTACCTTGTATACGTATGTATATATACATACAGCACCTGGATGCAGGTGCTGCCCAGGCGGTACACGCATTATGTACGCATCGCTCGCGAGCAACAGCTGCGCTTTGTTTTTTACCGAACTTGGAAAATAAAAATACACTAAATCGCTCCCCTTTACTTTTTTTTTTTTTTTTTTTTTCAACTATCGTCCGTTGGACGGTTTCTTTTTGTTCTTCCCTTGGAGGTACGAAACGGAGTGAAGATCATATCGTTTTTTGCTCCTGTAAAGAGGCACGGGAGAAAAAACGTTTTTTCCCTCTGTTTTTCGAAATTTCATACAGTTGTCCAGCTTCCGAGCAGAGCGGAACGAGTATATGGTTTGAGAGATTTTTCCCGTTTGCTCGATCGTGAGATTAGAAAACACGGTGTTTGCGCAACTTATCGCTCGCTCGAGGAGAAAGAAGAAAATAGGGCTATATCCGTCCGAAGAGCACACAGATAAAAAGGGGGTTCAATGCACCGTCGGAAATTAGGAAGGAAAAGTACAAGAGTCCGGCAAACAACCGAGTATCAGTGACCTTTCACTGTAAGGGTGATTTTTTTTATTTTTCTCAAATGATCGTTCCGAGAGTTTTTCCAACGTCAAAAGTGTTACTTACACCATTACTCAAATCAGGGGGGGGGGTCGCATTGGATGGTATAGCGTTATTCACGAGTAAAAGGCAATTTTTTGTAGACGTCGTGGAAATTTGAAAATCAGTTTCGTAGCGGCGTATAGTCGAAAAACTCGGTACTTTATGAAAGCGCGGGGCGTCAGTCGCGAGTGATTTACAACCTCGAGGTTTGCCATCGATCATCCGTCTGTATGTTAATAACAACAAGAGCAGTCGATTTTTTTTTGTTGCACATTGTATTGCAAATTGGTGATCGATGCAACATGAATTTCCAAAAAAAGTGCTGGTTTATTTATTTGTAGTTGTTTTTGTACTTGATTTTTTAAACAAAATGACAAATTTTTTGCAATTCCAATAGTCATTGCAAATTTTGTAGAAAAGGAAAAAAAAAATCCATCCCAAGAGACAACGATGCCCCACCGCAAAAGTTTCTCGAGCGCTTTTCTCGCACATCTCGCCTCGTATCGACACAAGGGGCAAAAAAAAAAGACACGGCCGGTTAATAACCCTGTGCGGCCGACAAGGAGAAGAGCGCCGCGTCATGCTGGCCATTATTTTCGTCTAGCGGGTTTTCGCCCTCGTCTGCCGAGTCGTCGACTCCTCCTGACGTCCGTGTGTGTGTATACGTGCGAGGCGATGGCAAAAAATTACGTCGAAGGGATGGCTTGGCCGCTGTGGGGAAACAACAGCGACGAGGGGGTGTGTTGGAGGAAAAAAGGGGTTTCTGCGTCGATGGTTTTTTTGAGGGGAGCCAGAGGAAGGGATAGGGAGCAACGGTCTTTTTCTTTCTTTTTTTTTTTTTTTTTTTTTTTGTCTTATCGGATCTCGCGTGGCTCTTTTTCGTATCGTCGAACAGGCGGTTGTCGACTCGTTGATTTTAGAGGAGATTGACGATGTCGCGAGAGTTCGATCGGGGGTGGGCTTGGGTTTTTTTTATTTTCAATTTCTTTGTGATTTTTGCGTCAGCCGTCATTCGATTTTTTCCCGCAAAAAACAGTTATCTTACTCGGATGTAGGATAAATTATTGAAACAGTTAAAGGCAGGTATTCACGGTTCAATCGGTAGTCCTTAAAGAAGTCAGTGATAATCAACAGAGAAATCAACGGAAAACCTAATCTAACTGGTGAATCGATGGTACTTTCTTTATACCGAATAAGCGTAAAAATATCTGATTTCGTAAGTAAAAGAAAAATCTGTAAAAACTCAGTAAACTCACCGATCCGCAGCGAACGAATTTCAGTAGCGACTTTGATCTATTGAAATTTCTCGAATTCAACGTGAAAGAATCGATCTTTCACCGATCAAAAAAAAAAAAAAGCAATTTCTTTTCCTTGTCGATTGTTCACACAATCCATGCACCCAACACCGGGTACACAAAACAGCATCGATAAAAGAGATGCGCGCGCGCGGTCGATCCCGAGCATGACTTTGGATTCTCCGATGCACTGCACCACACGCGGTCCGACAAGGTAATCATCTCTCCGTGACTCGTCAAAAAACTAAACTGTTTTTTCCTCCTCTCAAGCAACCCTCAGCTCGGAAGTACTCCACCATACCGATCTCTCCTCGTTTATTGTACCAACAAACTCCATGTGTAGTCCCTCTGCCGCGAAGGAGGAAAAATTTGTATACATCGAGCAGCCGATGTTCGTAGTAGAGCGGGAGTATTGATTTTACAATTTGATACCCTCTCGGGGAAAAAAAAGGAAAATCCCGAGGAGCTGCACGGTCTAGTGTTTTTTTGTTTTTTTCATATCCCTTTGTCCCTCCCTTCGCGCGTCGCGGTGTATTGGCGAATCTCCACTTTGTTTCGATGTATAGGACGAGCGAGTGGAGGAAGAGTAGCGAGAAGCAGAAAACGCTTACGAAAAAGTGTATACACTGGGGGGTGAAAAGTGCAAAGGTGCAGGCAACGGCGCTGTAGAAGAGAAAAAAAAGAGAGAGGAGGTAAAAGTGATCGTTTGTCAAGTTTTATGTTCTGTTCCTGGGAGAGTTGGGGGAGGGGGGGGGTGAAAAAAGGGGGGTAGGTAGGACGAGTCGTGGAAATTTTGCTCGTGAGGAGCTCTGGTCGCGAAAAAACGCGCGCAGAGGGATGGAGGAAAAAGGGAAAGAAAGATCGAGCGGGCGAGATTGCCTTGGCTTTTTGTTCCCTCTGACGTGCCCACTCGCTCGCCTTTTCCCTCCCTTCTTCTTCTTCTGTTTTCGCCGTTTGGACAGCCATGTATACATCACATCTCTTTTTCTCGAAATTAAGAAGTACGCGAGATCTAGTTCGAGTTTGGTCGTTAACTTTATGTACGTGCACTCTTTCGGGGTGCATATGTCGGGCTGATAAGATAACGCGCATTTGGAGATTGATAAAAACAAATGTAAGGGAGTACATAGTCTTTCGTTGTTATTTGTTTTTGACGGAAGAATGAATATAAATCACGGACTTGGCGGACTATCAGACATTTCCTTTAGTTTTTGGAAAAACTGTTGCCATGTTTTTCTCTTTTTTATATAAAATCAATTTAAATTGTCACGAAATTCATGAAATCGTGAAATTTGTAAGAATTGATAACAATGTTGAAGTGCACCAACGTAAACATTTCTGAAGAGGTCACCAAGAGATATTTCGGTAAAGTGCCAATACTCGATACCCATAACTATTTAACGAAGTCTTTAAAAAATACATACATTTATGTATAAAAAAAAAAAATCGGTCTATCGATTACGGATGCTCCATGACCTTAGAATGTGTCACCGATTTATCAGCGTTTATAAATTTAAAGTGAATATTTAATTTTAATGAATAATCTGCGGGCCCCGCTTACGCGTCCCGTTTTGACTTGGAATGTATCGCGATATTAGGAGTAGAAATACTTAAAAAAAAAATTATTTACAGTAGAGAGATAAATCTCGTGGTAAGCGAACAGAACAAAAGGTCACTCACCTTGTGCGCTCTGAGGGTCTTGCCCTCGCAGGCGAGTGTGACATCGCAGTAGGCCTGCCTCTCGAGCAGCTGCGAAAACATGGTCTGCAAATTACTGTGGTGGTACTTCCAGCGCAGGCAGTACTGCTGCGGAAACATGTTGTTGCTGTTTTTGTTTTTGTTGTTATTGTTGTTGTTGTTATTATTGTTGTTGTTATTTTTGGTGGCGCTATGGCTACTGATGTGGCTGATGCTGCTGCTGCTACTGTTGCTGCTACTGCTAATCGCCGGAGGCGTCACAGTCGGGCCTGGGCTGTGGCCTTGCTGCAGCATAAGCGCGTCGGCAGCCGCCAAGGCTCCTCCTGGCGCGACGATTTACCAATTCCCTCCCTTTGTCCTGTTTCTTTTGTTGTTTTTTTTTCTTTTTTCCTTTTTTTAGGGTTTGATGATTTTTTTTATTTTTTTTTTATTTTTTTAATTTCACTCCAAGCGGGTCGTAGCCGCAGCCCAAAGACAGAGACGACGCCTTGGGAACTTCTACTAATAGAGTGATGGCTGACGATGACGAAGGCAAAGGGAAACCTGTGGAGATGAATTTATTTTGTTAGATAACGGTGAGCGGGTGAATGGGTGTTTTATTTTTGGGGTTGAAGTGCTACGNAAAGAAAGAGGGAATCAACTGAGATTTTTTGAAGAATTAAAGTATACTATTATGTCTCACAGATAATGAAAGAAGGTACATTTTGTACTTTTTTCTCTTACAATAAGTCTGTGATCCATCGAATTTTCCTATCTTTTTTTTAATACGATGACTGAAAGAGAATTTATTTTTCAGATAAGAACACTTTTACCTCATTTTTCAAAGATTTATTTTAAATATTCTTCATGCGATCTCATTATCATTGTGACTATACTTTTACCATTTCTTTTATACGTTTTCGTGTTTTATTTTTCAATCCATGCATTACACCACCCAAAAGGAATACAATTTTCCTCACAGTTATATTTTATATTAACATTATACAATTCTAGAAATAACAAAATCATTGTTAGATGGCATTTGATTGGAAAGTTGTTTTGATACTTGACGTAAAAATTCAATTTTTTTGGTGTGAGTACTTTGTGAGGCTTTGAGAATTTCAAGCATATACGTGAAAAATGGCACATCGAAGGATTAGTCATTTTTATAAATTTGTAATTTCAAAGTATTAATTTCTATCTGGTCAACGAAATAATGGATATTCATTTTTCTTCTGCTTGTCGTGGAAAAAGAAAAACTTCCAGAAAATAGAATTCGCAAATCGAACTGCCAATGGGTTAATTAAAATTATACCGAATACACGAAACCAAAGATTTGCCTCGGACGGACGACGAAAATAAAATTGGCCTTGATCGACTCGATTCGTTGGACCTTTGGTTGGTTAAATATTCCCCGGTACTCAGAAACGGTTTTAAATGACCTACTTCTTCCCGCACGCTTTTATCGGGATTCGCGTTGTTTTGCGCGAGACTCGTTTAAAAGCTCCCTTCAAATTCAATTTTTCAACGTAAAAAAGAGCCAGTGGGACTTCTTTGCTCCATTTTTCACTGGATTGGCTCGCATTGGTACTCGCGAATGTTATTTGTTTTCAGCGTCGATGTGACTTTTTTCTTTTTATTTTTTATCTAAATGATTTTTGTCAAAAACAGAGAACCTTATGTAGGTTTCAGCGTTCTTTGTGTCGTTTTAATTTTACGATCTCTATAAATACAGGATTTTCATCGAAAATACATACCAAGATAATTTTAGCAGTTTTATCTTTCATTTGTGTCGATATGATGTTAGTTAATTCATGGAAGAAAAAAAAAATAAACGACTACAGCGCAAATTATGGTTATTATTTTTGTTAAAGTTATTAATTAAAATTTTAAAATTAACTTATTAAAGTTGTACACTTCCTCCTCTCTTTATCTAAAATAATTTAAAGTGTTTTCAACTGAAAAAATAGTAAAGGTCTATATAACTTTCAGTTAATTCATGTTTTCTTACTCCAAATAGTAAAACTTTTATAAACGAACATAATCATAAGTGAAGATGTGACGTTCCGTGAAAGTTACAGAAAGCACAGTTTACTTTGATTCAACCATGTGTAGAACCACTATGATATTAAAACACCATTAGTTTTTTTACAACTGAGCCGCAAAATTTTTCATCAGTTTTTATACCCAGTTTTTTGTAAAAATATTTTTTTTTTTTATTTAAAATCTTTACTCTACTTAAAAAAAAAAGTATTAGACAAACAACGGAAATTAATAATGGAGAAAGAGAAAAATAAATTAATAAAAGGAGAAAAACTAAAACTCCCTAAACAACAAGAAAAAGTCAATCAGAATGTTGAAAAAAATCGAATAAAATAAAAAATTCTGATAAAAATTGAAAAAGATGAAAATTTTTTAAAATTCATATCGACGAACTACAAAAACTTTCACATTCAAGTATCACTTCTTAGTTTTTTCATTTCCTTTTTTTTTATAAACTGATTATTAATAAAAAAAGCTATCATTCAAATCACTACTGTTCAAATTTCATGTTATAGTAATGCACATTAATGTAAAAAGGCAGTAATGTATACAAGGCGCCTGTATGACGCACATGATATTTATTTATCAAAATAATTCAGCAATATTAAAATCCTAATGTGTACTTACAGATGTACCATTTGTAAAGTTCAGTATAAAAAAGAGGGATTATCGTTCAACCTCATTAAAACTCACCGAAAACTCCGGTCCACCCTGCTGGGGTCGTCTGGCTCTGGGACTCGGTGCTTCTCTATTCCACCCCCCCAGCCGAGAGATGAGTGACCGTCCTTGTCGTTTCCACCACTGCCCGGCCGGTTATACGAATCGCCGTACACGTGACCAAGCTCGTCTTAGCTCCTCAGTCCAATGACTCGTTTTCCTGCAACACCAAAACAATCGTTGTTGTCCTTTAGCGTCCACGTGGGTTTGAGATTTTTTTTTATTTTTAAACTATTTCGATAAAAAATGTTAATCCCGTTACATATAGGCATCCAGTCAATACAAGTGATTCATAGTAATTATGTTTGTTATAAATTATCACAGATTTGACGTGCTTTCACCACTATTTTGCTGTGTCACTTGTGATGATAATAATGTAGTTACTATATCGCTAGTAGTTATAATATTCGTAATCTCGGTTACATCGAGGCGTCTGTATCATTGAACTCGATTTATAATGCATTAAGCCGGCCGGAATACCTCATAACACACATTTCAGTGCTCGGAGCAAAGATTTCATCGTCACGAAATTCCGGCTCTTTGTTTTAGAACCATCGTCGTAGCAATGAAAAAAATCAATATTCTCTCTTGCCTAATATTAGTGGATGAGAAAAAAAAACATTTCGCATCTGTTTGCCTTCCTTCACTGATCCTCTCCCCTCTTTTTCCATGGTTGGTATAGTAAACGAAATGGGAATATAGGCTTACAGAGCAAATGTCCATTTTCGCTTGGCAAACACCTGTTTTATTTGTGAGGCAAAAAAAAATTTTTTTCAAAAAAAAGTGTACTTGAATCTATACTGCAGGAAGTACATCTTAAAATACCTTGAAGTTGCGTGATGATAATATTGTACTTGCGAGAGAACCAGTCAGTTGTCTCTCTCTCTCCGTCTATCAATGTTTTTCTAGCTCTCTCTGAAACTCGAGACGCCGCCGGGCATTAAACCCTGAGAGCTTGTCGTACTATATACTGTGTATTATGAACGAGATCCAAAGAAGAAGGAGGAAGGAAGAAAAGGCCAATAGAAGTGGATTGAAAAATGGTTGGAAAAGAGGTGAGGGACCGGTTACGTTGGATCGATTTTGTTTGGTATCCTGTGGCTGCGGGCTTAATACGTCGGAATCCCTGAAAAATCATGAGTCGGGGAAAGCAAAAATTTTTTCGAATATTTTTTTATTGGATAGTCATGTGTTAAAAGATTTTGAAGTAGATACTTTTAATTTTGTATGTCTCACCATTTTTTTAAACAAAACGGGTATCCTGGTCACTATTACATCATACAAATAAATTGAAAACAATGGCTATCACGCAAGAAAAAAGTTTTATTTTTTTTTATTTTTTTTTACACGTAGTGTAAATTGCATATCGTACGTTACAATAGTGTCAATTAAAAATTCGCAAATTTGGTACTTATACACAATAAATGGGTTAAGAAGATGTTTTGAAACAAAAACCCTCGCGCACGTAAATTGGAGTTTTTGAGAGTCAACTCACGTGAAGCATAGAAGCCACCAGCTCATAGCGTGGGATGACTATACACACTTTAATTGAGATTTACGACGAGTAAAACATGGTTTTTCAATCGAATACTGCGATTGGTACTCGGAAAGTAAGTAATTTTTTTTTTTTTTTTTTTTTAATTTTATTTGCACGCTCTTCCCCTCGTAACAGCACGGTTGGTTGTTTCGTTCGAGATTCGTACCCTGGGAACGGGTAGGGACTCGGGGGATGATTAAATTGAAGTGAGTGCAGTAGCTATATTGATCGCGCGATAACTCAGCCATGCGTATGAAGAAGGGAAATTTTGTCTGTACGTCTTGTGCATTTTAGTGGCGGTGGTGCTTCCCTACTGGGAATGATGTATACCTACGTTTGTTTCGTATTTGATTGTCTTGTCGCTCGAGTGAGAATTGGTTTTTGTACATGCAGAACTTTAATTTATTAAATTTGTCGTTCAGATTATGTTGGATGATTTGAGAGTTTTTGAGATTGTGAATTATATTTTGTTTTTGTTTTTTGTTTTTGTCCATCTGAAAATTTGCTACGCGATGTGCAATATTGAAGTTTGTTTTTGCAGTAAGTTACCATGTAACTATAAATTACATCATTCATTATTCAGAAGGTAGGATTGCAACGCGATTGAAAAGTTTCATCCACACATGTTTTTTTTTATTCGTGATAAAATGCTTTAAAAAAATGGTTCTACGAAAAAAAAGTGTGACGAATATTTATAAAACAAAGTTGATTGTAAAATATTTGAACAAATGTGAAGTTAAATATTTTTTTCTTCTAAACTATTTTCCTTTCCAAGTAAAATCTGTTATTGTTGCTAGAAAAAATTTGTTGGGAATGGTTTAAAAAAATCGTTTACAAAATCTCATGTTTCACAATATAATAATAAACGAGTTGCACACACAACTATATCCATTTGCTAAGTCTTCCGTAGACATTCGCCGAAAAAAAAAAAAAAACCTTATTCGATTCGTGGAATAACATAAATTTAAATAGTTTCCAGGAACGACTCAATATCCGTGCCAACACACAATGTCCCAACCAAGGAAAATCCAACGTCCGATGGTTCCGTTATGATTCACGGCAAACGATTCGAGAGAGAGAGAAAAAAAAAACACCACAAAAATTCTCCTCGACTCGGCGTATTTGCAATGGTAGCCTCGAGCCCGACAATCGAACTTTCGCGACTAACGGGCTGCTCTTTTATTCAGGCTTGTTTTACACGCGACGCGATCAAAGGGGCGTTATGTTTTTCCCGAAGAAGATTAGATCAATGAACGCGGGCATATTGACAAATTCATGCTGTTAGTTGAACGATTGTGAAAATGCAAAAATGAGGGGGGAAAAAAATCGATTCATCGCCCGATGGGTTTTACGATCGAGTATACGAAAATTTGCGACGGTGAAAAGTTTTGTTTTGCAAAACTAACGATCTAATTTACGATTGCGAAATAAAGTCGACTAGTAACGCTCGCTAATCTTTCGAAATAAAAACACAACGAGCTTTTTTCTCCAAACGACCAGGTTATTTAATAATCCCATGAACTTCGGTGTTTCGCAAAAAACGCTATCGAAGATACGGATAATTTTCAAGCTTACCTTGCAGTATCGGATGAGCAAAAAAAAAATTTGTAATTTTCCGAAAAACTCCTCTGCAACCAGATAGATGTAAACAACGCACGCACACCTAACCAGATGCGTGCAAGTGCAATACGTCCCGAAGAAAAACGACGTGCATTAGCCGGTCGACTAACCGGTAATGAGTTTCGTATACACGTATACAGACGCGTGAAACAACCTGTAGGCCGGAAAAACCGTGTACATAATATGTGCGGCCGATTGGCGGAATCCAGGTCTCCGGCACGCGTATACGTACGATCTCGTACGGGACAACTCGCGCACACGTGCTACATTTCTGACGTTTATCCTCGATTCAGCCATCAGTGTGAGTCCACATATAATTTCCATTGTGTTGGTGAAGCTGACTTTGAGAAGTGGGAGAATTTGATTCCCCCACCTTCTCCTTGTACTTGCAAACGTTGCAATGTTAATTCTACGTCTGTGGGAGTTAGGGAGCACTAGACGTTTGAGAGAAATTTTATTTCCTATGGTATATTACATGTGAATCGAGCGTATAAAATCTTTGGCTGAATAATAAAACCTATACTTGGTAAATGTCTCATTTGCAATCAACATTGATAGACGTCACATCTCAAAATAAAATAACAACAAATGCATTTCTTCTCAGTTTCATGGAGATATGTTGGGATGAGATGTTATTTTACTGAATTGATAAGATGTTCTAATATAGAAATCAAAAGATACAGCTTAGGTGAAGTATCCGATTTTTACTTAGTTGAGATGCAAAGAGCCACCTGTTTTTGAGCTCGTAAAAAAATGACTAACGCTTTTTGTGATGTCTAACAATTTTATTTTTCCAACGAATTTCACGATCACTATACTCGTTAATCAGGATCCATCCTAATTGTAATTCAAAATTATTCGTAAATAAAAGCACTGAATAACTAATTATCAATTAATTAAATTATTGCTATTATTTTAATAATATTATTAAAAACCTTATTAGTTACACAGTTAATATTTTAAAAATTGGTTCAGGGAAAAATAAATTTATAAAGTTGTGCTCAACCACAACACTTTCAAGTACATAAAAATAAAAGGAAAAAAACAACTCACCAGAGCTACAATCATAAAACTGACACTCGTGTCGCTCGATCGGGACTGATGGGAATTTCGAATAAACTTTTCATCGATCAACCTCCTTACTATCTGTAACAATTGTTTTTATTCCGACGTATGTATAATATGTACCCAAATGATAATCACCGAGTGGTAAACAATGAGGCAAAATACCTTTTATGGTTTCAAAAGCAAAAATACCTTCAAGCTCACTGGCATCACCCTATATTATATCCACACAAAGAGAAGATGCTATTGAAATTCACACTCGCAGCCTAAAATTTAATAAGAAAATCCGGCTCGCGTATATACAAAAAGCAAAGAAACTCACTCGGTCACCAGCGAAATATGTTATTTCGCTAAACGCATGCTAATGGATTTGACTGGCGTACCTAGCGGCTCTTGAAGAAATATGACTATACACACGACACGCGCAAAAGAGAAAAACTAAAATGCCAACAAAAAAATGATAATAAATTTAATGACTCGTATAGCTTGGCAATAGGGAGGCCTCTTAACGGAACTTGAAACGGAGATTTGCGGTCATATACGTCTGAAGAGACGATTTTCTGTGTTGTATTCGCTGGGAGAGAGATATGCAGTGTTTGCCCCCAAACAAACGATGCTCCGATGCTGGCGTGGCCATCGGCGATTCGCGTTGTGTTGAAAAGAGAGATCGGCGTATATTTGATTTTTTTTTTCAGTGACGCAGTAAAAATTGAAATCGGTCAAATTTCCAAATGGATGGCGCTGTTCAATGAACTTGAAAGTTCAAATGTATTAAAATATTACTTTATTTTTGGTAGTTCAAATAAAATACTAAATTGCACTCGATAATTCAGTTTAAAAAAAAACTTGTAATTAATTTTATCAACAAAATAATAGCTTTATAATGATTTAAGTTATGAGTATCAGGGCATAAAAACCAAAATTTGCAGTGCGTTTGA